TTCGGCCCATGTCTTGAGCATGCGAAAGGACAAGGGCACTGATGCACTCTTTTCCCAGCTGTGTCTTGGTATGAAGGAGTCAGAGCTGGGAAAAACTCTGTACCAATGTATTTATTAATCTTTCATACCTTGACATCCATTACACTGAATTTCATCCAGCGATGATCCATGTATACAAAAATGTGAAGCACTATGGTTTCCGTTCCAGCTGAGCAATGCTGGCAAAGGGCAAAAGACGACTGAAAAGGTTACTGCGATTGTTAATGCAGGCATGGCTCTTAGAGAACATTCAGCAGTCTCTGCCTCTCTTTTGATAAATGTATGTATTTGTGTGTGTGCATACATATATGTATTTTAATATACATCTATAATTTTATTGATAAGCTCAGAATTGGGCGACTTTGACTATACCATTTTGTTCCTGCTACTGTACTATGCCTATCCCCACAACATCTGAATGCTTTCCAGTAATGACTAAGTTCACGACTGTGTTCATGGTCTCTGTTCCACTCTGGAGGGGCAGAAGAGCATGCAATGCAGGGTTTTTTTTCTTTTGCTTTTGCTGGGTTTTTAGTTATTTGCATGCACATTGTTCCATCCTTATGTAAGTTATATAAGAGTATTCACACTTCAAGGGATGCTCTCCATATTTGCACTGACCCTCTATCAATCTTCACTGAATTGCTCAGGCCAGAAGTTTTTACGTCCCAGACATAAAGCAAAAATTTGTTTATGTGGAGAATCTAGAGTCTTGTCAGTAAAAGTTTGTATGTGTTCTGGAACTAACATCTTTACATTCCAGATATAACTAAATTAGGTAATTATTTTATTCCCATTTTTCTCTTCTTCCTTCCTTATTTTCTTCTTATTTTTCAATGCAGCTGATCGTTTTTATTCAATGCAACACAGTATTGTGCACTGGCTTATCAGGGAAGCTACATTTCTTTATACAAAAGCAGAATTAACTCTCACTATTGTGGTTGTATGTTCTAACTGAAATTACTCTGAAAAGGAGGAAAGGACATACTTTGAGTTATTATTTTATAAACTAACTTTAAGGATGTTCTGAGCTGTCTCTTTGTTTATCTTTGGTATCTTCAGGACTTGGTTGTATCCCTGCCATTGTGCTCTAGGTTGTTACTTGAATGGCATGCCTACATAAGCTATACACTCATAACCTGAGCAGCAACAAGATAGACTCAGCCACACACAACTGAGCTCTTCACCAGGAGAAATACACAGCCTCTGCACAAGCCAGGAGTCAAGGGACTGAGCTGAGACTCGTGTATGCAGGACACTCTGCAAGGATCTGCTGGGAGTCTTCCATCCTATGCTTTCACATGCCACTCAAAAAAAAAACCCCGAGAGCTGCACTGCAGGGCTCTGCGTAACAGCATGCTCCAGGATGTGTGCGGGTGCTGAGCGACAGCTGCCAATTGTTATTTGGAAATGGGTGTTTATTCTCCAGAGTCCTCCTGCATTTGCTGCTTAGCAGATAACCGCTATCCATCTGCTAAGTTGGACACTGACAACCCCTAGCATCTTCTTCCCCTTCCTTGCTGCTGGGCTGCAGACAATGTGGTGTTGTCCTCACTTCCCCCACGGCTGTCAGCTGTTCCTGTGTTTCGCTCGCAGCACGAGTTGTAGGAGAAGGATGTTTATTTGCCAAGTGCCAAGGGCTGGCTGCCTGTGAGCCACAGCGTCCTCCAGCCTGGGACTCCCTGATGATCTGAACCCCTTCCAAAAACTTTTTGGGTGCTGCTTTTATCCTACTCTAGTACCACACAGTTTTTCAGAGCACTTTGCTTTATTCACCAGGGCATGGGATCCTTGCAAAGGGGATGCTGGGCAGTTTTTGTCACTCCTCTCTATGTGCTCAACAGCCTGCTCACTCATGGGGACAGAGCCCTTAGTACCCTTCTTCTGAAGCACACACTGTATCAAAAACTTTTGTCTTGATGCTCTTCTGCATTCAAGAGTTTGATTACAGTGCATCTGTGTCTTCACAGCATGCTTGCACAACACAAAGTGCAAACTTCAGCCAACAAACCAGCATTGGACTCACGCAGTGCAATCTACAGTGTCATCAGCAAAATTGCAAGCAGAAGTGTTCGAAATGACAGGAAATCTTTCCTGAGTGAATTTTTCTGAACTTGTAAAAAACCCTGTTGTTGTGCAAAGCCATTGTTAGCCATTTAACAACCATCAGATTCTCAGCTTAGCTCTCAAATATTAGACTTTAATTGGCTAATACTACACTCTGCCTCTAAAGGAAAAGTTTTGCTAAGTACAAATACTTCAAAAAGATGGTAAGGTTCCCCCTTTTGTACTTGAAGGACTTTGCTGGTATGTTGAACATTTTAAAAACTTAAAGCTTAGGATTTCAACAGAAAAGGGCATCAGTAATTTTCTGCCTAGTTTATAACCATACATGTGGAACTGGCCCACCTCCAGTAGTTTTCAGGTGTGTTCATATTTTTCAGCCACAGTTAAGACACTGGTGTTGCACTCCCAAGTCCGAATTGAGGCTGATGCCACTGGGATGGGATCATTTAGACAAAAACAATGCACGTAACACTCCTTCCTTCAGTTGCATGCACGCACCCTAGCGCTGCTCTTCCTTCTTTCTCGTGCTGTCATACATAAGCCAGACATACTACTTTACTGAGTCACGTATTGGTAATTCATTCAGCACAGACATCCTGATTGTTTCATATTGAGCATAATAAAAGAAAACTAAGCAAACACAAATGAATCCCCAGAGCCTTTGTGCACAAGACTGAGCTGCCACTGAGATCATGCTGTCACAGAGAGGTCTCCAGTTGCACGGCATCAGTTCATATTTATGATATGCTATGGTATAATTGAGCAAAGAATAACTTTAAGAATCAGCTGAGACTACTTTTCAGCTCAACAAACCGTGTCTCAGATGAAGGTATTTCTGCTCAAGCACTCATAGATGTGCAATGACTGTGCAGCCAGCTCTACTTCTGCAGATTAGAAGCAACTATCCCAAACAAAGGGGGAAACATTACAGAAATCCAACCTCTCCCATCAAAACTCCATGCTGACTGAACTCAGATGGCTTCACCACTGTAACGGGGGGAGGAGACCTGTGGCTGAGAAATGCATTTGTCGTGCAGTCACATCACAGGACATAAGAAAGATAGTAAAAAGTGAGACAGGTGGATGTACCTATCACCTTCTCCAAAGTGATTAGTCTTACTGTACTAGTTTTCAAGGGAAAATCTGCAAAAGTGTCTTGTTGGCCTGTTCACAGCTGCCATGTCCCCGCCAGCCATTTCAGCTGACCTCAAAGTGACACACACCTGGGAAAGGATGGATGCACGTATTTTAAATTTCAACTGCACTTAATTAGCAAACCTTTTTGTACAAGTTCAAAGAGTTATAAGAAACAGATAAAAAATCTCAAGTACAATACATTCATTAGCATGCATTCTCACCTAGTAAAGACAGTACCTTTAATCTTCCTTTTTGTATTAATCTAGATTGCATTTTATTTATCAAACCTACCATATGAATAACATTGTATTACCCTTTAATTTCATCAGGAAATGTAGCTACTGAATGTTTTATTAATGACTTGTTTTTTCAGTAGCTGGTATGTTTTTTCAAGGCAAGTTGTGCAAGGCCTAACTTAACATAAAAATGCAAAAGAGGAATGTTGAGTGTATTAGGGTGTTAGGTAACTATCAGTATTAAAAAGTTGAACAAACACAAATGACATTGTTGTACATCAGTTTCTTTTTGTCATTTCTGTAATATATCAATAACACTATGAAATCCATGTGCTATCAAAGTGATAACAAACAATCGTAAATGGTCATACATACTGATGCATATTAGTTTTTCAATTCCTATCAATTAGGTTCAACAAAAAAAATCAAGACAGTTGCAGAGCCTGACGCCAGTTTTGCAAGCTGATCCATGCACACAGCTTTTAACTTAAGACATAGGAACTCTGGGTGGATGCAAGATCTGTGCTGGTGGAACACTTTACAGGAGGGGTTCTTTGTTAGGAAAATCTGCACTAATTATGCTGACAAGTGGAAATTGGTTACTCATGAGGTTAAACTATCTGGGAAGCAACTAGATTATACTACTTGCTCCCAGACCACTTGTATAAGAGTGTTGCCCCAGAGAAAAATCATTAAGTTGTGGAATAGCTTTCTTCAAGCATTTACAACTTGTATAACTGCAGATTATTCCCTTAGGCCCTATAAAAACGTCTTCTAGCTGCACAGTTTAGAAATTAATGAATAAATATAATGCTATTTCAAAAATTTGCATCTAGTCTAATCCCCTTTTAGTCTATCGTTTTGTTTTGCTAACGCTTTACTGGAGAATGAAATGGCAGAAATCTGAGTAATTTTGGTTGTCATTAAAATACTGTATATAAACAGGAAAAGTCAGAATAAGGCATTCTCAACATAAGCTTGAGGAACATACATTTTCATGCCCAGTGGAACTAACATTTCAATTTCTTCTCAGAAGTAGTGGAATGTTTTTTTGCATATAAATCCCCAAATACTTTTGAATTTTACAGATAAAAAGCATTATTTTGTACATGAGTTTTAAAAGCATTGGCTTGGTATTTCCTTCCATTTCGTCTGCTGCAGGACTATGAATCTGGAAGGAAGCAGTTCAAAGAAACTCACGACATACAGAAGACACCTACTTCCATAAAACCAAACTAAATAGTACTTTGTTTCAAATGCCATCTAGAAACACTGGATAGATGTATATGAAGTATACGCATTATGGTAGGTAGTTATTAATCCCCATGTTTTCACCTGCCGGTATTACTGCAAATAACACTGTTTCCATGACATGCCTTATGGAACAGTTTACTATTTTCATAAGCAGTCACATGCATTGAAGGTAGGATCACCAGCCAGGGCATTTGGCACCCCAAAGCAGAACCAGAGAGGCCAAGCTTACGAATCTCTCCTGCTGTTTACAGGACCAGAGAGGCCAAGCTTACGAATCTCTGCTGCTGAATGACAAGTTAGCTGGTGTATGACATGACAGATCTCAGCTGAAACAAGGAAGCACATTGACCTAAGACATTTCTTCTGGAGCTGCTTCTGCTTCCTGAGTGGGTTTCTCTTCGGGTTTGCCATCATGGACGGGAGATGGGTTTCGGCTGGGCTTGTTGCTGTCATGAGTGCTGTGACCACTGGCGCTGCCGAGGCGAGTTGATGCCACCACAGCTTTTACTGCAGCCTGAGAAAGAGAGGATCAAGAAAAGGGTCATTGTTTGTGAATTTCATTTTGCATGGGGATCGCAAAGCTCTCAGACAAGATGCTTTTTACTCTTATTCCCCAGGGCTGCAAGGGCAGCGTCACTGTAGCTGTTGGTAATAAATTCTGTGCTGAAGTATCCCTGGAAGTCTCTCTCCTAAGCACACACAAATCTTTAACAACTGAAGAAGGGATTAGGGGAGAAGAAAGTTTCCTGATCTTATGTTTGTTAGATGCCCAGCTGCCTGCTGTTTGCACGTAAAAATGCTTCCCTGCTTCTTCCCATGGTAGATATGCAGACTAGATGGCAAAGAAGCCTACTGGTAACTCAAAACCTAATGTTATTTTCCCCACAGGCCCCACCTGCACTCCTGCCTTGCAGTGCTTAATTTCCAGATAAAGAATGCTATTGTACATTTGCTCTCAGAGGTACTTGGAAATTTATGGTTTTGGTCTGTTCATCTCAACCCACACATTTTCTGGACCTACATATCTGAAATGCTGACTCTAGATCATATAGAAAGATGGCTTAAGCTCCTGTTTTCTATTGATAGATATAGAAACTTGGTGGCTTACAGATCAATATATGCTACAGTAGATTAAATATCTTCCAGATTTATGGGTGCTCATGAAGAACCTACTCAGAATTTTGTCCTTTCTGGTCAATACACTAAGGATGCGCAAGCAGTAAAGGACAGACAGATGGACAGAAGCAAGGAAAGAAGAAGGGAAGAAAGGAGGGAAGAAGGTAAGGAGTTTGCGAAAGCTGTTTACGTTCCCAGAAATTCTGTCTGTGTAGACAGAGTTTTCAATCAACCTCACACATTTTTATTTGTTAGGCTGCAGACATGGACTGTATCAGCTTCAACTTTTTCTTTTGTCAGTCACCTTAAATAAAAAGCTTCCATTCCACTACGGAAAGTTGTCCTGAAAAGTGTGCAAGTTTTCTGTAAGGCTACTAATTTAATTGCATGCTTTCATGGCCTAAACAGAGACTATGTCCAGAGACTTGCCTTAAGTTTACGCCGGGCATTGAATTCTTGAAGTTTCTTTTGTGCATTGTCCATATGTGCAAAGTTTGCTGCCTTCCCTGTGACCCATGGGTGCTGCAAAGCCTGTAGAGTGGTGAGGCGTTTCTTGGGGTCTAAAACAATCAACTTTTTAACCTGCATCACAAGGAAGAAATACAGAAGACTTGTAACTTTATTCTTCGTTTACATTTTTTGAGCTTTGCATTTTGGGGCTTTGGTCTTGGTTTGGGAAGCATCTTAGTGAAACACATTCTAAGAAACCAACAAGAATTTGCATTCAGGTCTTTGCACGTGTTTTGTTTCTGGCATTTCTTGGTCCTCCATAAATAACACCTGAATAATACTTCCACTAGGGGGTAAGAGAGGAGAAAAAGAATCAACCAGTTACCAGCATTTCTAAGAGTATGAACCAATGCAGCTGGCCTGTATCCACCATCAGCTGTTGTATGTCTGAATTGTCACATAAACCCTAAGAGATTCTCAAAATACCCCCAGCCAGGCAGTTCTCTTGGCAGTATCCCCAGTTTTGGATTTTCACAAGGTTTAAACTGGATTAGAAAGTTTAAATTCTAGCATATGCAACTCATGCAGACTTGTACCATGCAGTAGGAGCAAGGTACATCACAAATGAAATGTTTCTTTCCGTCACCATAAAACCTCATATACACAAGAACTAAAAAGTGCTGTACAAGTATTTCTCTCTTAGCCTACTCTGAAACTAATGCTGTTTATACCATTCTTTGTTACTGAGACCAGGGAAGCTGCACCTCTCCAAACACAACAATAGGACATTTTTAGGAACAAGGCACTGGCAGACATACCCCTGGGAGCGGAGGTGGTACAAACCACCTGGTACAAAGCGAGTCCAGTCAAGCTGCATTTCATGGGGTTTGCTGTCTGTCTGGAAAAGTGGTGTTTTAAAGAAAAAGACAGGTGAGGATGAAGTAAAGATGTACATAGGTGGTACTCAGCAGAGCCACACTTATGCAACTCTCCTCACTGTACACCTTCTTGGAGCAGAGTGCAAGTGATGGCAAAGGCTCCACCACTGCCATCTGCCCAAGTGAGAGGGGAGGACTCGCTTCAGCGCTCTCTGAAATTTCCCTATAAAGACCTATTAAAGAAAGATGGTGCCCTGAAGCAGGTGCAGGAGAACAGGCATGGTGATGAAAATCTACTGTGCGTCCACAGAAGAGGTCAAGTTAAGCAAATCACTTCAACTGAACACCCCAGAACTGCCCACAGCATGGGTGTTGAGAGCCATGAGCTTCATCCTTATATAAAATTTGCTATACAGCATTAAAATCTGAAACTCCGAGCTTTACTGTAGCAAAACCATAGGGAACAGTTTGGACCAAAGCTCTCTGTATATAATAAATGAGCAGCTTTGCTGCAGGCTGCTGTTTATCTCGGTTTTGATGACACAAGGCAGTAAATGATATTTTTCTGACCTTAGAAAAACTTCACCTCTAATACAACAACAACAAAAAAGTACTTTGAACATCTACAGTCCTTCTGTTTGAGGCATCCTGAAGTACTTTACAAACACTAATTATGTAGTATTTTATGGTACCATTTGTATAAGTAATATGGAACTGAGCATTCGTGTCTTCAGTGCTAATGAAATAACTGAATTGTGCAAGTGATTTTTGAGTAAAAATCAAACTCATACCTATCTTTGCAGATCAGTGTCTCCTGGACCCAGTGTTACTTTATCCAGTAATAAAAGAATACAGTGCAGATAGCACGCCAGCCGTTGCATTTTGCTAATGGACCATATTTAAAAGTGATGTGTCTTTCCTCATCTACTGAGATAAAGCTTCAATGGACAGAAAAAGGCTGTCAGCAAAAGCAAAGGAGAGGGGGAAGGGCTTCACTCTTTTTTATATTCTTCCTCCAAAGTTCAGAATTGAAAACTGCACAAAATATAGGGCTTGTTTCTACCTTCCCCTGAAGGTGGTTGCTCTGCAAAGAGGAACGATGAAACACCAGAGACCTGGCATGAAAGGTAGGCATACATGAACACTGCAACAGCTGCCAACAATCTGTGGCTTAGTTCACAGAAGGACCTGAACATCCATGAGTTTGAGTGCAAACTTACAGCACTGGACTAACAGGGGATATTTATCAGCACCATAATATACCAGAGATGATAAGAAGAAAAGCAAGGAGACATATGAAGAATTAATTAACCAATTATTCTGCCCCCACCCCAAAATGGGCTCTTTCTCAGTGGAAGTGATACTAGCCAAATACGTATTAGCAAAGATACTCCAGTCTCATTTTTGCTTTACTTACTAAATCCTTGGCATTCAGAGACACATCATCCCACCAGGGGGACACAAAGTCATATTCACAGTTCAGGATTCTCTTAAACATGTACTGATCTCCCCTTTCATCATAAAATGGTTCAAAGCCACAAAGTCTGCAAGGATAAAAAAGAAAGAAAGAAATTTATCAAACATTAATTCATCTTGGGCTGTTAGAAATACTTCCGGGTATTATCTTCCCCTACTTTGCGTCCTGTACTCCACTTTGGGAAACCAGATCTGGGTGGACTTATGAACTCCTAATTCTACGGAGCAGAGCGAAATGTGGTCACAAGCACACATAAGCACTGGGAAAGGCTGATCAAATTGTACATTTTCCATTTTCACATGTCTGTAATTGGAACTATTAATATAGGGACTTGACATAAGAGTATGGCTACACTTGATAACTGTTTACCTTGTACAAGCCATTAAGTATTCTCTAGCAGCTCTGTTCTGCTGGTCTCAGGCTGAAGTCCCTTGGACTATTTAGTCATTCCTCAGTCTGAAACTTTGCTCATCGCTGCTCTCTACTGTGAGTCTTCCCCAGCTGTGTGACTTTTTCAAGTGGGTCCAAACACCATTCAGTGTGTTGCAAATTAGCATAATGATGTTTTCTATTTTAATTTCCACTTCTTAGATAACAATTCTTGACCTTGGACCTGCTTTTTTTGGATTGTTTCAAGCAGAGAGTTAACATGCTCATAGAGGAATTACCAGAATCCCTGTAACTCTTCCCTGTGGTACAGGAATTAGCTGAGGAACCACACTTACCTGTGAAGCTAGAAGTCCAGTTAGGACTGTTTTTTGACTATGCTCATCGCTGTATGTTCTTCAATGCTGTCACCCACAAGAAGTAAAAATCTTTGGCAGGTTTTAATAGTGGTCAGCCCTCATCTTTACTTAGGTAACCTACATATTATCAAGAAATTTTGTAATCTCACAAATGACTGCATTTGTGAATATATTGAATAATACAGATCATGACACAGATCCACACTGCTGGCCCTGGAGAAAGCAAACTCACAGAAGTGGTTTCCAATTATACAATGTCCTTTTTGTCACTTTGCTGCACTTTAATCATGCCTGCACTCATAGTCAGATGTTTTAAAGTGAACTTCTTATTCAACCAGTATGTGTTCTGAGCTAAACACAAAGTCTAACTGCCACTCTGCTTCCAGAAAATGCAAGAAGCAACGCCAGGGAAAGAACTGCAGACCATAAAGAAAAAGACAGCAGCAAATCTAGAAAATGTAACCTTACATTTTAACATGTTTTTGTATTTTTAAACCCAATATTACTGTCCAGAGAAAGGTGACAGGTGTTCAAGGAAGAAATGCGGTTTTGAGAGTGGTCTGTAGCCATGGAGGGAAGAGCTGCATCACTTTGCACTGCTGAAGAGGAGAAAACCTCCACCGTAAACACATTCTGGGTGCGTTATTAATTTCCAAGTCTGGCAGACGTGTTAAAACATAAAGATCCAATCTCCAAATACTGTGTACTCCAGTAGATGGGAGCCAGTCATGGTCCCTCTGCTGTTCCCCTCCCATTTCCCTGTCTCTCCCATTACCATTTCTGAGCTTGCTTCAGATTGGCTCCTATCCTCATGGAGCACCTTTGCTGAGCAGGGCAGGGTTACTGGGCCACTAACTGGCTAAGCCAAAACTGGCTTCTGAATACCAGGTAATCGGTGACATACAGTGAGACCATGCTTAAAGCATGCTGTGACTGTGTTGGAAGCCTTTTAAGTGATTCTCTATTTACTCCTAAAAATATTTTTATCATAGCTCACTGCTATCATCTAATATTGCCTTATCAACAGTTTCTATGGATCTGCTATGAAAATTCACTTCAGCAGACAGATTAGATGAATAAAACTAGAGGTGTGATTTCAAATTAGACAAATTAAACTGGGGTAAGACCCAGCATGGCTGCTCTTCATTTCATGTAAACCAGGATTATGCTGATTAGTTTTAAATCGATTGCTTACCAAATAAAGAAAGAACAATGTAAACAGCTTAAAAATCAATTAGAAATGACCAGACAGTGTTTTGTGCCCTTTTAAGTAAGTTAGTAAAAAAGCACCTTTAATTAAATCCATGCAATTTTGACTACAAAGAGGCAAAGCATCTGTATTTGTTTACCACTATCTGCATGTCAGATGTGCACTAGCATTTCTAACCTGCTGAAGGAATACAAAAGGACTGGTCCTCTTTGCTGTTAAAATTGTAAATGTAGCTTCCTTGGAATTGTGACAGTTGTCATCAATAGGTCTTAATATAATTTGCCTCAGGAATAATTGTTTGGTCAGAATGTGTGTCAAAGTTTTTCTTAATAACGTGGTAAATCTGCTTTCTATTGGTGAGAAGATACAGTCTGATGCATTTGCCTTCTGTAGCATGGTAGTTAACTCTTAAATTCACTCTGTTTTGGAGGCATATATAACAATGTATTTTTTGGACTGTACGTAAGTGCATTCCCACTACTAAACTATGGGACTGAGACATGCAACACTGTCCTTTAGTCTGCGGGATTAATCAGTTAGTTACTGTACATGTACCTTTCTGGTCTGAGATTCTAACCCATCAGAAATGTTGGCCTACAAAGCTTTACAGGTTATAGAAGAGTTCTAAATGTGAAGTATTATTAAACCTAAATGGAAGAGATGGCTACGTGGATTCGACTAGCACCCTTTTTGCTTGGCTTGCTCCTGTAGGTCAAATTGGATTTTGAACGGGAAGGAGGAGAGGAACAGAGGAGGAAGAAGTAGAGGGGTGTCTGTACTGGTAGTGTTCCACCCAGAGCAGGAGCTCACAGGCTTCTGTTTACACCAGTCAGAGGTTTAACATGGCTTGGGAGCACCTCCTGAACATCTGGAAGGTTTTTAAAGGCTCCGTATAGCAAATGCCACTCCATATATTCAAACAGGAATTTGCTGTACATTCTTGCTTGGAGCTTGCCTACACTTGAAAGCAAGTTCTGCTTAAGGAAGGCTCTCAGTTTCAAGCACAACAGCTATCCCTCAGTTATTGAATAACTAGGCAAGCCCAAGACTTAATCTAGATATCTTTGTAAAGGGACAACAAAAGGCACATCTCCAATTGCAGGGACAGCTCTGCTGGCAAATTTCACATCTCTCTGCCATGCGTGGACTGCTAGAACTGATGAGAAATGATCACCTGGCAGGCAATATCTGACATGATCTTCTACAGACCGGAACCAGGCCTTGAGACAAAGATTCACATTTTAAAGGGAGCAGACAACAAAATGGCAAATAGGACTATTGTAGTCTATTATTTGCAGGCACCCAAAAGGAGAGCTGTGACTTATTTGAAGCTTATGTACAGAACAAAAGATGTTTACTGATCTTTCCACCAGTGTGTTTACATATCCTTACAAGTACTTTTAGTATAAAGCCTAGAAAATACAATTCTTTCTTTGCAAAAGACATACAGAAGATAATACTTGTATTATTACACACTGTACTTGCTGGACACACTTAATGAATCCTAAAAGGGGAAAGAAAATGGCCTAGATGTATAAAATCCTCCATATCTTTAATGTATATGTATAAAAAAATCACGTTTCCTTCCCATAAAAGATATCCTGCAAGTATCATATACAACTACACAAGCCAGCTCAGCATTAGCGTTGCCAGGGGAATAAATGAAGTTACTTACTCTCCCATAAAGAGAAGTGTCAATACACCAGATACAATTTTCCCTTCTCAATAATCTTCCTTCGAAAGATTCCATTGATCAAATAATTACAATGCTTACCGATTGAATTAGGACTAGCCACATTAAGATGCAGACACGAATGCCTACCTTTAGACGCAACTGTTTGAAAATTTTGGTCTATAGTTGCAACTTCAACTGCTTAAAATATGTATGGCCAGCATCACCCACAGCCCCCTGTCAACAGTGCCTCTGGTTATTTTGTAAGAAGTGGAACACTGCAACATTAATCATTTAACCCATTGGACTGATTTGCAGGCAGAGAGGCCAGGGCTGTTCCCTGCCTCCCTCCTGGATGAGATGCTGTGAGGCAGCAGCACTGACGCTGCAGCCGAAGGTGTAGCAATGTCTGTGTCTGACACAGGTGGGGCAGCTACATTTGGGAATATTCACAGGCACTGTGAAACTACTGCAAGCACTTTAACTTCTCCTTGCCCCATCCGTAGGTGAGAAGCTACTTAGGACCATAGTATATCTCACATTGTGTGAATGAGAAAAAAAATATACAATGCTTTCTGACACTTGTATGCTTGTATTTTTGCTTTCAGCAACTTTGCTGCTATTCATTCACATTAACAGCACGATTCTGTGCAGACCTTGCTGCTGTTCAGGAAGAAGTGTTATATTTATCAAATATATAACCCCAGTGTTTTGCCATGCTCCTCTAGGACTTGACTTCCTTAAATAAGATTAGAAATATCGTAATTAAAGTTCAGGATCTCATGTTTTCTAACGGCATGGCTCATAATGTCATTAAAAACTGTAGGTACTCCCAAATGCACCACTCCGTGGCACTGTCCGCACTTACAGTATGTAGGTAATAATGCCCAGAGACCACATGTCCACCTCAGGGCCGTAGGCACATCCTCGTAGTATCTCTGGAGCTGCAGATGAGAAAACACTTGTCAATAAGATGAAAGTGGAATGCAGAAGTAACACTCACAACTATGCACAGTCGTGTCTTTTAAAAAGTTAGAGCCTGCTCCTTTAAGCCCTTAATTAGGCAAATGATTCCCTTCGCTGAGGATAAAGCAACAGAAGTTGTGTCCAATCACAGCCAAAATAAAATGAAAAAGTGGACTTTGGTTTCAAATTGCTTTTTAGGAACCACAGAAAGCTACAGCAGCAGTGGAGCTGATATGTGACAAAGGAGGTGGTACCTTTACTTCAGTATTTTGTTTACCTGGTACTTTATTTGGGCTTTCTTTTAGGTATTCTGTTGTAATTATAAGGATAGACAAGACCATTTCAGGCAATTGCTTTTGCTGCAGCGCGGAGCAGGCGGAAAGGCCAGGCTGTCTCAGGGGACCAGACACACCTTGAGGAAAGCCAAGCAGACTGCTGTATCCCCCAGGCAGTATCTGTTGCTGCTGTGTGTGACTAAGAATGTGCATGGTTGCACAAGCAAACTGTGATGTGCCTACCTCAAGCACCCCTGGCCCCCAGGGCTTGCAGCTTCACACACCTTTGAGGTTTGCCTCCAACTGGGCAATCCTCCCTGGGCAAAGCTCCTGAGGTGAAGGCGAGGATGAAAATGCCACATTTCCAGAGGACGAAATGGAAGAGCTTGATACTGGGGGAGGCAAGACCCTTCCTTCCCTCACCTTTTTGGCCACAGACAAAAATAACCAACTAATTTGGAAAAAAATTTAAAAGAAACTGCTGAGCTGTCTCCCACATATCAGTAGCCCTTCTCAGCAACCACCATAACTGTATTAATATCCATCAGATGTACGGGATGGCAGGACAGCCCCTGACCCCGCTGGCTCTATGATGCATGTGGGATGGCTGCCACATTTCTGGGGCACAGTGGACTTTCTGCACCTATGCAGAGCAACCCTGAAGCACATATGCATCTCTTCACCTTTCCACGCTACACTTTCACAGCCACAAGCAGGGAGGCCAAGAAGGGGTGGGGCTTCCCAAAGTGTATGACAGCTCCCTGCTCAGCCTGAAGCTTGGTTGCCCGTCCGGGCCGACCCAGGCTGCTGGCGCTCTCCTGCTTTGCTCCCAGCCTGTGGGAGGTCTCCACTGGGGCAGCTAGCTCTCCCAAGGACCGCGCTGCAACATCCCAGGGCAGGAAGGCTCCCCCAAGCATGACTTAAATCAGAATATACACAACTCCCTAACGGCCTCCAGGTAGCTGGCTCAGACTTCTTCAACTTGCCTCAAGGATTTACCACGCAGGGAACACAAGCATTTTCACACAGCATCAATATAAAAGGCAAAGGACATTAAGCACTGAGTTTGCTAGCAACCACTTGTACAGCTGGCAAACACTTGCCAGTCTAAGCACATTCTTCTACTAGGTAAAATGATGAACAGAGAGGAGCTGTTTTTGAGAAGGGACACTAGATCCCAACTGATTTTAACTCAGGTCAACCTGTAGTTAGCAGGACAGCCTAAGGCAAAGCACCCAATGGCCTCAGAGAAAGAGATGGAGATGGACCAAGAAAAGAGATGTTAACCACCATTCTCCCCACCATATCTGTTAATTTCATGAGGTGGGTTCTGAAGTAAATAGGACAGTTTTTCTGTTTAATGGCCAATATGCTTCCTCTTCTGGAGAACGCAACATTTCTTGGGATGTCTTCTTGCTCAAGATAAGGGCAGAAGACACTTTCTGCCCTTCTTTAGCTTGCCTCCTCCTCCACCTCAGTATTGAAAATGGCCATAAAGCAGACGAAAGATTCATACACACAGGTCTGCCTTGCTATCTGGACTGTGATTACGTGGTTATACATCTTATAAATACGATTTTTTAATATTTCCAGAAGTTTACTTTCTGTGAATGGATTTGAGTGATACATTGCCGTTAGTTTAGATGTTGGCTGTAATAGACTGATCATGAATCACTGCTCTGCACTGGCTTGTTTTTATGCTCTACTGTCAGAAATCACTTATGCCCTTCTTGTTAAGGTCATTGAAAGCACAGTGTCTCAGCAAGTTAAGTTCTTTGTGACCATCTTCTTACTTTCAGTCCTCTGCATCACTTTGCATGTCCCAGGGACTGTAGATTGGTACGTCTTGATGCCAAAGTATCCAGACTCCAGTGTGTGTTTTTGTTGCTGTGTCCTTTATGCAGAAGCTGCTGATAGCTGAGTGGGCAGGATGTGGGATTTGGCAGCCTGTGAGTATCAATTATTCATAGTTTAATTTGGCATTTCAACAGTATTCCTCCTGGGTTTCCTTCACTTCTGGAAAGCAATGTTTGAACATTTTCTAGGCACCAGGAATTCTGCAGGGTCAGTTAACTTTGGTCGTAAAGCAAGGATTGCAGATCCATGTCTGAATGCACAACGCTCTATTCTTCTGTTCTCAGCACATTCAGTCTCAACCCTCCTCACCAAGCCATCCCTAGTCTGAGGGCTCTTCTAGGGGAATAAGTCTTGTTCTACTTTTGTAGTATACAAAGACAGGCATTAAAAGGCCTAAATGCTAACTACAGTTTTATGGTAATCGTAGTGTAACTGTCATGAGAGAAGACAACCAGAACATTAATAGCTAATATGTGAAGTACAGTTTTATAAACTAAGCAGACTGGAATTCAGTGCTACTCTAAAGCATATTTGGCATTTGTCCATGCTTGGCAGAGAATGTCATACAAGGTAATGGACATGTCACCTGAATTGCATTATCAGCTGTCCTACGAGGTTATAAAGTAATCTTATGGTCTGCTCCAATGTCCTCTTCCCTTCGTTTCTACACTTATAAAAGCAAATGCCAAGTCTTTAGTTTCCACATGGCTTGGCTCAGCTCTGCCTGAAACAACCTGAGATGCTTACCACCCAGCACACTGCTAGCAACTTGCAGCCTTTTGTAGAAGCCTGTTCAGGATCTAGAGTTCAGCAAGAATGGCAGGTCCACAAGATCACATTGGTTGCTGGAGATGAGCATCCACCACAGGAGGCCCAGCAGGCTTTCCCTAGTATAAACATGATCACCAGTCTCCCTGGCCATTAGCTGATTTGCTGACATGGAAGTGTCTTGAAATGAAGGGCGAGCAGACTGCAGAGGCAGCTGCCACCCTCTTTTGCCAGAGGGCCTCCTTCTTTTGCACATTCTGCCCCTGCAAGATCCATTTCTGGCTCATTTTCTGGTTCTGGGAGTCCAGGCAAGCTTCTGCACCCAGGAGCTATCTGTCCCTGCGCTGACAGTGAAGCTGGGCACAAGGGTGTTGTAGCGGGAGCCCGACGGCCTGAGTGGGAATGCCCTGCTGAAAGCTGCCAGGCATCTGCAAGGCTCCGTCCAGCTGCTGGCTGCTCAGCCTTGTATGGCTCAGTGCTGCCACAGGAAACTGAGCCAGAACACCAGGGGTCTGCCCTGCCTGCAGGCAGGCGGGGGGGGGGTCTCTGCAGGGGTGGGGTATCCTGCGGGCCCCTGCTGTCTCCTCTGACCTGGGGATGCTGCTGCTGAAGAAAAGTCTGCTGTGTGCAGGGGATGGCCAGGCTAGGCACATCCCTGCCTGCAGCAGGACAAGCTCCCGGCTGCAGCCCCGAGGGCAGAGCAAAATGCTCTGGCCCCGTGAGGGAACGGACACTGGGGCTCAGCAGCATCTTTTAAATTATTTTTTTCAAGATCAGTTGTATGCTTGCTTTCTGTCCACTGTGTCAGGTTATGTGCTTGAACTCTGGTTTTAGATTTTGGATTTTTTGAGGGGGTCAGTTTTAGTTATATCCTCCTTGGATTACTGATATCTGACATATAGCACAGCTATGGCATTGTTTGCCTGATGTTATGTATACAGCAATTGTTATGCTCACTCCCTGCCCCACTTATTTTCTCCCCGAAGCAATGGAGAAAAAACCCCTACATTCCTAATTATTCATGGACTTCACCAGTACTATGGTTTTTTCACTTGCTTATCAAAACCTCACTGTCCCATATGACAGTAAGGCAACATATTTTTACCTAAATGTGATTCTATGGAAATTTGTTTTAATTTGAAGTATTAGTTGTGGTTTTCTTGCACTCAGATTAGATGCCCTACATCATTAAAAGCTACAAGACTGAGAAACATGAACTAGCTGTGATTTTGGAAAAAACCAGAAACATGCAAGAAAACGACACCTGAGACGAAACACAATTTCTAAACTTTGTGCACATCTCCCATGGTTAAACAAGTATAAAGTGTCCTTAAAGACCACCAACTGAAAAATATAAGCCAAACATCATTAAGTTTATAATTTCCTAATTTCTAAACTACTAAAGGAATTAAAAATACCACCCTTGGGCAATATACTGCTAAGCTCACAAGTTAGATGTTTGCTCTGAAGTAGTTGTGGCAGGGACCCTCTGCCTGCCCTCCCCCCCCCCTCTCCTTCAGATAAAGACTGGGGCTTTTAACATGGTGATAGCTGGCTTTTCCCACCTAATTTTCACAACTTTTGTGCTTTGCCTAGGAACACCCACCCCTTGGTGGGTGGGGGGGAGGGGAGGGGGTTTGGGAGAAGTGGCACCCCTTGGCCAACAGAGAGGTCCGCAGCCAGTGAGGCACCTTGGTTCAGAGAAGCTTCTGGATCATGACCAATCGTGACCACAGCTCAGGTCCCAGCCAGGGTGCAAATGGGCACCACTGGAGCCCCCTTGGAGTGCTCTTCTTGCAGCAGTGGGTCTGTGTTCGAAGCCCCTCCCCTTGGGTTGGGACAGAGCCTGAGGAAACTTCCCAGGACTGAGTGCCCTCACCTACTTTTCATAGAATCATAGAATGTTTTGGATGCACGGGACCCCTAGAGGTCATCTAGTCCAACCCCCCTGCAGTGAGCAGGGACACTGCTAACTAGATCAGGTTGCTCAGAGCCCCATCTAGCCTGGCCTTGAACGTTTCCAGGGATGGGGCCTCCACTACCTCTCTGGGCAACCTGTTCCAGTGGTACTTTTGGCAACTGATTTCTTCTGGATACGTCCTTGAGTGAGCCCTCACCTCCCCTCCTGAGCAAGTGATTATACCTTCTGGGGACCCATGAGAGGGTGAGAGTGAGTGAGTGCACGTGTGCGCGCTTTGGACCATCATTCCTGTGTGTATTGATGTGTTGTAACAATACCCTGACTGACACCTCAAAACCTGTTACCTCTTAAATGTTACCGGAGGGTTGACTGATTTCAGTTTACCCCCATTTCTCATTGGTTTCTGTTGTGTGGTTTTGGCTGCTTTGTGAAATAAAGTCGTTTGAGCTTGTCCTTCGTCTGGGTTAGCTTTAGCATACCTCCGTGACAGTCATCCATAAACTCATGCTTATTGAAGTATCGTGAATGCACAGGCTAATTAGTCATTTTGGTAAGCAGTGGTTGATGCTGACTCTCACTCTCTTGCTAAAACTGAAGCAAACCTAGGATTTCATTCTTATTTTGTTTAGGAGAAAAGACGATTAGTTAAAAGTCCCAAAGCCTTTTTACTGCTGGAGGAGATGACTAGATCTACACCAGTCGCCAAGATCTGCCACAAAGCAATCCCTGATATTGCACTCCTAGTTCTATTATACAGGTCCCACTCCAGCATGGACCAGAACCGTCTGAGTCAAGCATGCATTTAAAACAATGTATTTGCTGAAACTTTCTGGGTTTAGGGAATTAATTTATGACCCTACTCTTAAGGAATAATTTTATTTCCTCTATGTTAAAAAAAAAAATTAAGATACATTCACTGTAAGCAGTATTCAAATATTCATAATTGTTATGAACCCTATAGATTTTTAGTGTTTTCCATTATGTCTTTCATAGACCAAATTTCTGCTGATGCCTCTCCAGTATTATTTTAGAAATTTCAGCATTTTTGCGATGGTTGAACTTATTTCTGTGCAAGTAATGAACTTGCACCATAACATATGTTTTGATTATTAAGCTTCAGTGGTAGAGAATATGAGTTTAGAAAAATTTAACCCAGTTCCAGTTCTGAATTTAGGTTTTTCTTTCTGCTATTTAGGGGCTTTTTTGAATTTTGACTTTAGGAAGAAGCATTTCACCTTGGAAAGAGAAAATCCTCACATTAAGTGCAGCATACTGTAAATAATAAAGCAACATACCACAGTACCCTGGAGTTCCACAAACTGTCTTCATGGTCACCTGGTCCTCCACAATCTTGGAAAGTCCAAAGTCAGCTGTTAAGATTGTTCAGGAATATTAATATTCTTACTGCCTTGTAAAATCACTTCTTTTTTTACATTGTATATGTAATTAAATGAATGTTTATGCATTAAATAAACAGTACTGTCATTTCCAGAGATGATGGTCAATTTAACAAATCTACCCAGACTGCAATCCAGAAGCAAACTTTGTCCATACAGATGAATACTCCTGGCTCTTGCTTCACAGATAAATAGCTTGTATTTTATGCTGAAGACTGCACAAAGCCAATACAATGGGGTGCCGAAGGGCATACAGGCAGTGATCCAGAAATGCATTTTAGGTATATATTCAACTTCCACTCCAGTGGAATTGGAATAATCCAACAGAATTACCAGAACAATTTTGGGTTAAAAAATTGTGCATTAGTGATTTCTTTCATAAGGGTCAGAATATTCAGTCCCTGGAAGATAAAATCCCAGCAGTATAGAGGGCTTCTAGGGGCATGGAGGTCATGACAGAAGTACTGATCATCCTTTTTGCAGTGTTCCCACCCTGAATTACCACTCAGACTGCAAGAGCCTTCATGACATTACACGTCGTACTTGCATGACACTTTTTTAAAAGACAGAAAAACTGAAGTCTTCACAACTCTTTTAGTTTTCACTGAGAATAAACTGAGCTTCTTCAAATTTCAATTTAGGTGGTGGCAATCTGGCCTGAAAAAATGCTGTACTGGGTTTGCGTGGCAAGGTTTTGGTAGTGGGGTGGGGGGACTACAGGGGTGGCTTTTGTGAGAAGCTGCCAGAAGCTTTCCCTGTGTCCAACAGAGCCAATGCCAGCCAGCTTGGAGATGGACCTGCTGCTGGCCAAGGCTGAGCCCATCAGCGACTGTGGTAGTGCCTCTGTGATAACATATTTAAGAAGATGGGAAAAAACCTATTGCAGAACAGCAGCTGGTGGGAGAGAAGTGAGAGGATGTAAGAGGAGCAGCCCCACAGACCCCAAGATCAGCGCAGCAGGAGGGCAGGAGGAGCTCCAGGCACCAGAGCAGAGATTCCCCTGCTGCCCCTGGTGCAGCCCCTGGTGGGGCAGGCTGTGCCCCTGCAGCCTGGGGAGGACCCCAGGCTGGAGCAAGGGGGTGCCCAAAGGAGGCTGTGACCCCGTGGGAAACCCGCGCTGGAGCAGGCTCCTTGCAGGACCTGTGAACCCATGGAGAGAGGAGCCCAGGCTGGGGCAGGTTTGCTGGCTGGGCTGGTGACCCTGTGGGGGACCCATGATGATCTCATTCTTCTTGTTCCTCCTGATTGCTTTATTCTCTGACATGTTCTGCACAATTTTGGCTATAAATTCTCTAAGCAAGCATCTAGATTTGTATTGGTTTTAAAAACACCATGCACAGCTGTGCTGCTGAAGAAGTAACATGCTGTTCATTTGAGTATAAAGTGAACAAAGTGGTGGTGGCGAGACGTATATGCTGTAAACATCAGCACATATTAATGGTACAAAGGAATTAGGGGAGCATATGTTTAATGCTGCTCACCAATTTTTAGTGGTGCATCTGGTGCTGGCGTTGCATAGAGTAGGTTTTCTGGCTTCAAGTCACGATGCACAATCCCATTTGCATGCAGGTACTAGAAAAAGAGAAAGAACACTTAAATGAGAATACGAAGTTATGGTCAAGCATGAGTTAACATCTTCCTAACAATCTATACCAGCAGATTAATAATCTGCTATGTGTGTGACACAGAGTCACTTAACTCATTTTCAGCAGCTTTTTTCCTGCAAACCTTCTCAGCACAGGATCTTTGGATGCATATTGTAATCTGAATAGGAAATCAAAATTTGGGAAGGCAAAGACAGCATTGTGTCCGTTTGAGAAGAAAAGTATCACCAAAAGCATTGTTGACTTTTAAAATAGAGTGGTAGCTTCTAGGAACTAATCTAATAGATGTTGAGATACCAAAGTCTTGCTCAGAGGAAGGTAGTTAGGTAGATTCTGCACATTATAACATTCTGAGAGATAAGAAAAAGGTAATATAACTATTAAATAGACACCTTTGAGTAGAAAGGATGCAGTACGTGTCCTGGGCCAATTCTAAAATCTTTGAGGTCCCTGGAGCAGAATTCTCAAGGATTTTAAAACCACCCAATTGCTGTCTCAAAAATCTATCTGTCTTGCTGAATCACATGCAGTACGTGTGAATTCACTCACCACTGAATCCCTTTAAAGATGCTGTTCCTGCCTTGGACTAATGGAAAGAAGAATTTCTGGAATATATGGTGGCCTCTTATACTGTTATATATAGACAGAAAAAATATATAATATACTGATAGACAAAAAGGGATAAACTAGTGAAACAAATCCTGTATTTCTTGTTGATAAAACATTCAGCAGAAACCTCTGAAGCCTTGGAAGAAAGATGCTTAAGGGTAGAATCATGTTATCTTATTTGAAAGTCTGCTGGTCTATGTTTTATTTTCATCTCTCTCAGCTGTGTTTTCACTATTAAAAAAAACCCCAAACAAACAGTGTGTGTGCAGTGTTATGCAGCAAATGATAAATGGTTGAATATTCATCTAGAAAGCAAAGCTACAGCGTTCACTTGAGTTAGCATCTGAGATGAATTCTTGACTGTATCTCATTGGAATTTTAGCTTGTAAAAATTGCCAGTGATTAAATAACATTAAGTAAGAATACATTGCTCTTTCCTTGGGCATTGTTTTAAAGACACCGAGTGCTTTTTAAGTGTAAGCTTCTTACAGTGCAATAAATGTATTTTGTTGACTTTCCCTAAAATCCTAAAGTGTCAGTATTTGTCATGATGTGGCTTGGGGAGATCAGCCAAAGACTCTCATCTACTTTACTTCACAGTGAAATACAAGTGCTTGTCCCAGCTGTGTTTTCTACAGTGAGATAGCTAATCAGTTATCCAAGGTAAAAACAGGCAACAATATATGGAAACTGATGGACTGCATACTGCTACATCATTTAATGCAGTCACATCTGCGTGGCTAGACACAATCATGTGCACCTTGGATAAAAATACATCTTTATCAGCCAGTGAAGACATAACTGTAGCAAAGATGCTCCAACAGCGTCACACTGATGTGTTTGACATGCAGAGGTAACAGTGGCACACGGGGCTTGTACCAAAAGCAATCAACTTGGAGTGGACAGAAAAGAGATATCTGAACTGATCTGTGTCCATGTGCTGCAAATTGGTTTAGCTGACTCTGTAGGAGTGAGAAAGATCAGACATTTCATCATCACCTGGTGGAAAGCAGACACTTCCGATTCATTCACATGAAAAAACTTTGAACAAATTTGTGCAGAGAAATGTTCCAACCAAGTCTGTGGTCTTTTAGCAGGTCCTTTTTTACACATGCCCATAATCTTAAAAACATTTTATGGTGTGAGGCTGAAAACATTGAAATTTTCTTCTCTTCCCAGAATTGCATTTTTGTGGGAGGGAAATTTGGGAAAAACTTCAAGAGAAGCTGTTCAACTTTTCCTCCTCTTTAAGTTGTAAAGTGAGAATGGCTTGCAGGGCTCCTTCTCAGACATAGCAAGAACCACAACCGATGACATCTGATAACCATGCTCGTGCCTCATGACTGACTGACTTTTTAACAAATTTGTATTGAACTTGCAGTGTGAACTCTTTTTTTTATTACGAACTTGCAAGACCCCATGTAGAGAAATTTACTTCCTCTATCCAGCCAACCATTTCCAGAAATCTCATAGGATGGGGGTGCCCAACAAACATGAATTCCCTCAATATCCTAGCCCATGCTTTTCAAAAACTGCCACCACAATACTCTGAGCACTCTCTCTTGTGTCCCCTCCTCACAACACCCACAGCTCCTCCTACCCTCTCCACCACTCCTCCCCTTATCCTCCAGCATCCTAGCCCAGAACTCCTGCCCACCCACAGAACCTCCTCTGAGCTCTCCCTGTGGTCCACATAGATCCTGTCATAGTTGCTACAATCCCTAACCTCAGTCCCTGCTGCGTCTCCCACCATTTCTTTTGCTTGACTTCACATTTGGGCACAAGATGATACCTGTGGTGCTCAGACCAGCCATGCATGCAGCTGAGGCTCCCTCCAGCTGGCAGGTCATGGGTTTAACAGACCTACTGTTGGCATCTTGTATTTTCGAGACCTAGCCTCCTGTCAAATTTTTTGTTGAGGTTGGCCAATAGGGTCAAAAGTTTTGTTGTGAACTAACAGATAAAAGGGCAAAACAAACATAACAAAAAAAACAACCCAGTGTTTTCACTGATACAGAAATCCCATCCTTCAACCACACAGAAGTACCATCTAGCCTTGTGGATCCCCAGCCCTCCAAGGGGAGTGACTGCTGGCTGGACTTTTGTACCTGTCTTGAAACAGCCTTGTTAGTAAAGGTCTCCAGCCGACACAGAGACCTTCTCTCCTCTAGCCTGAGCCACCCGCCATCCACTGAGTGTGTCTCCTGCTCCAAAACCCACTATGAACAGGACCTCCCAAGACTGTGTCCATTTTCAGCATCACTCCTTACTTCATAAATACCCTGGGACTTGTTTGCAAATTTTCACCAGTCCCAACAGCTCTGCTCCCCCAGTAGCATAATAGCTCCTGGTGTTGAAGACTACTTGGTAATTACATTGTCTTGTATATACATGAACAGTACTCTGAGTTAAACTATCGTGATTTAGAAACAGATTTAGTTAAATTAGCACAAACCACTTCGTATAACACTTATTTCAGTTCATGTATGCTCTATTTTGATTGCTCTTCACTTTTATTTCTCACATATTTATTTTAATAAGCAACGCATCCCTTTGCAGATAGCGCCTCTGCAGCGCAAGTTCAAAGATAGTTGTTTGTCTCTCCCAGTTTGGAGTACAGCTTTGGGCATTGTGTCCTCTCATTGTAAAATAGATAACCTGTTCTCTACTATTTATAATCTATGTCTCCTAATGGCTAAATTATGTGGTTAAATGAGAGGGTCAGGGCCCAGGTATCAAGCCAGAGCAGTGTACTGACTCGCCTTATGATCTAAGCCTTGCTGAATTACATCACTTTCCCCACCTATAAGATATGGATGAGATTTGAAAAACATTTGAGCGGATTTTAAATGCACAGTCCCCTATAACGGTTTAACATAGCATGCACATGAAATGTGATCATGACACAATACTCTTATGGTAGCCAAAATGTCCTGTTTTCACCTTCTTCTGATTTTCAGTAGACAGTGCCAAGTACTAAAAGAAAATAAAGGCAGTTCTCTGATTGCAGCTTTGCCAATTTGTGTTAGTGAAATAAGGTGGATACAGAAAACATATATATACATCAAAATTCTGTATTTCTATGGCAACATTACGTGGATATATTTAGCTCTAGTTATGTGCTGTAACATCTATGTACTAAAATGTAAGATTTACTTCTAGAATAACAGCACTTGGTCTGTCCTGATGACATGTAGATGGAAGACAGGATCCTCCACAGGATCTCACAGCAAGGCCCATGGAAGAAGACTGTGTGGAAAAAGTCTTCTCCATGTACGGCAGTTTCATCCAAGCAGCTGGCCAACAGCACGAGGAAGGGAAATTGTGCTTTCTCGTGTACCTTCTCCTCTGATTTTTTTTTTTTTTTTGCACATCACATCAAGGCAGGTGCTATAAATAGGGATAGTACTGATTTTAAGGAACATATGGCTATTCTACTTGGCGAAAGAGAATGAACAAGAAAAAGTAAAATGGAAACACTAGAGAATCTGAGCAGCCTGCATTAAATTAGTGAATTTAAATGCACAGGGAATAGAATAAATACTGAAAAAAAAATATATATTTGCACATCCTATGATCACACTTCTTTTTCAATTGCTTTGGCCAATGAGATGTAAGTAGGCCAGGCGGGTGAATCGGCCGTGCTTCAGGCACACAGTAGGGTACTGCATTATTATTGTAGAGCATCTCAGATAATCTGGGAGAAATGTATTCAAGCAAAATGGAGTATGATAGTCATTACTCTTTGATAAATGTCGAGGACAGACTCAGCATGACACTAGGTGGGAATAATATACAGGCCCTTTTCTGAAAGACTTACCAGCTAAAATAAAGGCAGCCTTCATCTCAGCCTTTATTCCCATGGTACACAACAATTCATGATTGAACAATTGCTGTGACTCTAATTGTGAATGCGGCAAGATTTTTTTTCCTTTATTTTTTAAGCTTCTTTCTAATTGCTGCATGAGAATTCCTTTTGGTCTTTGTTTTATCTTTTAATAATTCAGGTTCCTATCTAACTTGAAAGATTTTATGACAAAAGGACAAATGAAGACTGCTTAAAACTCTGGCCTTTATTCTTAATTTTATTTATGGTACCTATCACACAGAACTTTAGAGAAGTAGGACTGAAATTAACCTGAATCATCTACTCCTCTGTATGCTCCTAGGCAGCATCAATTACATCTATAACAGTTGTTTGTCCAATTTATGCTTAAAGACCTCTGATACTAGAGGCTCCGCAATTTATTACAGGGCTGTGCTATCTTGGCCATTAGAAAGTACTTCCCCGTGACCTACCTGGATCTTGACAGGGGCAGATGAAGCCCATTACTTTGTTTCTTACATACCATAGAGGCA